CGAATGCTTTTCGTACGTAATTCGGCCCAACTTTCATTCCTTGTAAAGTCGATTTTCCGCTGCAGGTTTAATGTCTGCTCTGTCTGACCGATGCCATGCACGCTGTGGACCCGTTTGGCCGGTAATCTTTCTCAGTTCTTCTCCCGGACCGAGTTGTTCGGTCGATGGACGTCTAAACTGAACCGATAGATTTTTGGCTCAAACCCTAGTGTGGTCACACGCCCTTCTTCCTTCCAAGGTTGATAAATGAGTACTGAGTACACGTTATTCAAGTATGTGCGCCATACAAAGGTTGTCGACTGTGCCTTCAAAAAATAAGACACTCCTGTATGATAGCGTGCAAATGGAGATCAGCAACGCCCCGCCATTAACATCATAAAAAGAATGGACTAGCGCCAAGATGATTCCATCATGAAGGTTTTAGGAAGACCGACATTCAAACGGTTACAGAGTTTTTGTTTATTTCTCTCGGACATTTTTCGTTTTCTTTCCATGATTTGCTTCATTGTTTTAACTTATTCTTGTCGGACATTTTTCAGTCAATAAGGTTCCTAATTTCACCTCATCGACGAACAGTTTTCTTGCTCTTTTCTAGTTTTTGTCGATCATCATACACTCACGTATCTTGGGCGTGTGTCCTGTGTGCAGCGCCGAAGTCGACGAGTTTCAAAAGTTTTTGTACACCCGCGCCGCTGTTTCTTTGAACCTGGTATTTTGTTTGTGGATGGGTGCTTCATTGCCGGGTCTCCGCAAATGATTTGACCTTGATCAAGGTACTACTCACCATTACGGCATTCTCAACATAAAAGCTTAGAAAATATCAAGAATTCAGCATGCAGCTCAAAGCTTTGGTCGGTTAATTGGCGCTTTCGCGTACTGTAATAACGGGTGTATTAAATGCCCATTATTTTTTATTATTCGTAGCCCCTAATAGTGGGGTGGAGGGAATGGACAGCTGCTTCAGAACTTTAAGAGATGATTTCGGTGATCCAAATCTCTGTCAAACGTGTGATTACATTGAGTGAGCTGGATTTTGAGGCGCTACAATTCCACATAGAATCGACCTATGGGACGTTTTTGAGATAATATCTGACTTTGATTATGTTTTTTTGGGGCGGAAGATGTTTTTAGTTCGATGGGAAAC